CCAATACACCTGCATAAAGGCGTTCGGCCTCTTCGAGTGACGTAGACGCCAGTGATGGCTTCCCTAGTCTGAGCCATAGGTCTGCAGCGAGAACACTCCACATGCCAGCTTTTCGGTGCCGTGGGCCGAATTTTACTCCGTTGATTGCATTTCGGGAGGCATAGCAAGCTGAAATCCTTTCGCTGAAGAGCGCCTGACCGATAGAGCCCACTAGACTCAGGTCCATTGCCCGCATGGCCCATCTAGCGGCACTTTCGATTCCAGAACCTCCACGAGACTTCAGTAATTCCATGGACAAGGAGAGACAACGTAAGGCATTAGGTGCATCTGAGCATCTTGTAAGGTAGGAATAGCAGGCGGTTTCAATCATCTGATCGATATCATTGATTTTGGATTTTCCAGGCATGGAAAGAGGGTTCAGAAGCATGCTCACAGCACACATTTCATGGACACCAGCATGGTACTTCCACGCTTTGTCATTCGCATAGTCTGACCGGAGAAGTTCGTAGGTGGATGCTGATAGCTTCCAATCCCGCAGCATGAAGGCAAAGTCCGCCATCTTTCGGAGAATAGCCTCAGGTACATCCGGTTTGTAGAAGCCATGAGCAAGATCGTAGTTTCCACTGGTTCCACCACCCGAGCCGATAAGGCTGGATCGAGAGCCAGACCCGAAACCTGCCCACCGTCGAGACATTGACATGAAACGGCCACTGATGCCACGCCTTCGTGATGCTACCTGATCATTCCAAACAGTTACTCGATTCTCCATATACGGGATCACGGACTGAGCGACCAACTCCCGGACGAAGGCTTTGATGGCAGTGACATCGGACTCGAAAAGGTACGGCAGACCATCTGTATCAAGATCGACGAGAGGCTCTATTCGCTGTTAGGTCCTGTACATAAAAACCAATCCCTAAAGGTTGTTCAACCCTACCTGATCGACCCGACAGGCGCTCTGCAGGTGAAAGCCATTCGGCTTCGGGAGCCTGGCAGCTGTCGTCATCGGTCACAACACATTGGTTGCTCCGTAGTCTCAAGAGATGACAATGCAGGCCAAAGTGACGTTTCATTTGGTCGTAAAGCTTCGTTGATTCCGTGATGTCATCGCGATCCTCGTCATGAACTAGGACATAGTACCGGAGGTACTCGGGATGAACCCACTCCGGTAGCTTCCTATCTCCGTTGCTGGTGTCCGCATATAGCCGTCGTAAAGTCTCAAGGGGAGAGGTGTTCCGTGAGCTAATGACGATAACGCTTGCCACGGGGTGACGGAATGTCTCATGCGGGGTTGGAGAAGAGACTGATAACAGCTGGCGCAGAAATGATTTATATAATGGAGATGTTGTAGGAAAATTGAGAAAATCCTTTGGTCGTAGTATACCTCCCAATGGATCATCTGGCGCTTCCAGTTGCCTCTCCAGTGCTTCCTCTAATTGTGTTAGAGGCGGCGCTCTCGGGTCAGAGGAAACCTGTGGGTTATCCCCTAAGTCGACAAACCGGACCCCATAATCTTCCCATCCACGGCTTGCCCCTACACTATCACGAACCACGATCTTCCCAGGAACAGTCTCGCCAAAGGGGCGAATGAGCTCCCAAAAGCCGCCCGCAAAGCCTTTTTGTCTGACTAGTTCATCCGTATCGACCGATGAGTAGACCCCGACTACTGGGGAGAATGAGCGTATTATCAAAGAGCGTATATCTTCAGAACCATCCAGACGTCCTTCCGTCGGAGAACCCAGTGATGATCGGGCCAATTGCGGCGTTGACGATCTTATAGATCGAGCATGGGGCGATGCGGATCTAATCGGCAGCTCCGCCGCGGTGGCCGAAAGAGGGGGTTGCGGGGGAGACGTGGCAATTCTTGAGTCTACTAGGTCCGAATCTAGATTTGGAGAAGAGTCGCGGCGCTGATCTGGGTATCTCGTCTTGGATGCGACTCGCGGAACGCCGGGCGAGAAGGACGGCGGAGGTCTGACCGGAGCAGCATCTCCGGGCGATGTCATGGACTCCGAGTGGATGGCGAAGCGGGACTTATAGAAATTGAAGGGACTTTAGAGCCCATGGAACGAAGCTATAAAGATAAAGAGGGGGCGGGGGGGGATGCACGCAGGAGCGGTCGGTATTGGAGTAACACGTGGGTTTCGAGAGAAGGAGGAAAGTGGAAGACGGAGATTGAGGGACAAGGAGGAGGGATGTTGTTGTTGACGGGTTGGAGGCCAAGTCACCACGGCAGAAACACCAACGCAACGTGATACAATAATTAAATTTACCAAATGAAGGATTTAGGTAGTAAAGGTAGACTTATAGATACGGGCAATATATTCTTCCTAGACAAAGAGACCCATAGGAAATTATAGTTAAAACTCAAAAAGCTGCAAGGGGAATAAATTTCATTCACATTCAATTACACTCCATAGATGATTGACCAGCACCAAATGATCTCGAATGCCGACAAGGCGGAAGGCGGTGATCCCTGCTACTTGATCGCAAAGTATAAAAAGACGGGCAGAATGACTGGAGTCATCAATGCGGGCATTGACAACAAAACTCCATAGAGTCATACTGTAACCTCGCCCGGCCATGGAAACTATCCATGTTGAAACCCACTTCTTTACGCATTCTTCCTGAGATATATCAGTTCAGCCCCACCCAACAATTTCTGCGAACCGCCTATGTTTCCACTCAATCTACAAGAATCCCGACTAATACCAGAAGCACCCCACTAAGACCACACCCACCGATCTGTCGCTGGCGCCAAACTGTGTGCAATTATTCCATGAACCACAAGAAACCTAGAAATTCTTCTCCCGACAGAGCTACCAAGAGGAGACGCGTTTCTTCCCCTATCTGGCGCAAGAAACCTTCCGACGCAATGGCCGCGACATCCCACCAGACGCTTCCTATAATCCAGCTCACGCCCCTCGAGAACACACTGAAATCCCTCCTCCTAGATGTCGCAGACTATATACGAGAACGAGCGATTGCAAAAGGAGGCAATGCGGCGGACGCCCCATGCACGGTACTGCGCTTTACAGGAGGCTGGGTGCGGGACAAGCTGCTCGGTATCGATAGCCATGACATCGACGTGGGCATAAATAATATGACAGGATACCAGTTCGGTCTCCTGCTTAAGGACTACCTAGATATCCCAGAAAACCTGCACAAGTACAAGAAAAACCACAACAATGGCCAGCTCAAGGATGCTATCGTCAGTCTCCATAAAATTGAGGCTAATCCGGAGAAGTCGAAGCATCTGGAAACGGTCACTACTAAAATCTTTGGGCTAGATATCGATTTGGTCAACCTACGGAAGGAGACCTACTCGGATGATAGTCGCAATCCCCAGATGGAATTTGGCACGGCCGAGGAGGACGCAATGCGCCGGGATGCAACCATCAATGCCCTCTTCTATAATTTGAATGAGTCCAAAGTAGAGGATTTTACGAGGAGGGGTTTTGAAGATATGAGAGACCAAGTAATCCGAACACCAATGGAGCCGTATCAAACCTTCAAGGATGACCCGCTCCGTGTGCTACGGCTCATTCGGTTTGCCAGCCGATTAGGATATCGCATTGATGAAGAGACGGAGAACGCCATGAAAAACAAGGATATCAGTGAAGCACTCAAACTGAAGATCAGTAGAGAACGCGTGGGGACCGAGATGACGAAGATGCTCAAAGGTAATAGGGCTTTTGATTTACAACTATGATTGCCACACTCACGACATATAGGTCCCGATCCCCGAGGCGCTCTACATTTTATTGACCGCCTTGAACTATATCAAACAATTTTTGCAAACCACCAAGATGATGTTGGCGTGGATACGTCTTCCTGGGCTCTTGCATATAATGCTCTACAGAAGTTGTTACACTCCGAGGACACTTCGATACCTATTGTACGTGTACGCGACCTACTTATTCGCGACACCCAAGAAGCTTATTATGCTTGGGTGATCGCCGCATTCGCACCCTGGTCTACGGTGCCAGATCGCGTGGCGCAAGGACCGAAAGAAAAGCCACCTCCTCCTCGCGCGGCGGAAGTCGCTAAGGATAGCCTTCGTTCGGATAACAAAACGATCAACTTGCTCCGTGATGCGGCGCGTCATTGGCGCTCTATCGTGGACGTAAAATCTTCCCTTCTGGAAGAGCGCATGAATGGCACCGCGGCAGAGATTCGACAGCAAATTGGATTGCACATCCGTACATGGAACAAAGACTGGAGACTCTGCTGTACCTTGGCGATCTTGCAAGAAGTTGCGCAAGGAGGCGAGTTCGACAAAGGTGAGACACTTCCCTATTTATCCTTGGCTTCCCAATTGTACTCACTCGTATGTGCTTGGCAGTGATCCAAGAGTATAACAAGTTTCTCTCATACCTCGTAGAACACGACCTGGAGAACGTCTATGACATGAAACCCATCGTAAACGGGGTTGAAATTGCCCAAAACCTTGCATCTCCGAAAGGGCCTTGGATGAGTAAGGCTTTGGACATGGTGATCAAGTGGCAGCTCCTACACCCGGAGATCACAGACAAGGCCAAGGCGTTGGAAGAAGTGTCAAGTCGAAGGGACGAGCTCGACATACGCTCGAAGTGACGGAACCCATTTTAAAAATAATAGAATACTTTAATCCAGCATGAAGTGGGAAACTGTATAGAACTTGTCAACCGACCCTGAAGTAGCTACCACAGTTACAAGTCTGTGTGGTCACTAATAAGCCAGGCGGGGATATCTTGTCCCTGGTGCCCAATTCAGTAACAGGGGTCCCCAAGAAAGCAAAAGTGGAGTGGAGACCAAGCAGAATAAATAGCGTCATCAAGCAGCCGTGGCTGCCCATTGACGTAAGATTAAATCCACATGAATCCAACTATTCGGCGTCAACATACATAAAAGTCAATCCATGAATATCCCCTGATAGCAACGTCAGAAGACCAGTGAATATAGACATAGACATCTGACAAAAACACCTCTTCTGAAGAAACACTCACCCGCCCTTCAAAATGAGCACTACGACTAATACATTCCTAACCACAATAACGATCGAGGGTGCAGGGGCAGCAAGTGTGAGTGTTTCCTTTCATTCCTAAAAGAATATAGCACTCACATCCCAATAGACGATAGGGTCCCGACCTACCCAACAAGACCAGTATACATTCCTCCTCCCAGAGAACTTCTCAACGAAATCGGGCGACAAGATAGCTTTCTTCGCGGTTTACGACGGACAGTACGTATCGTCCCCGTCGACGTAGATATGAACCAACTAACCGAGATCATGATAAACACAGTGGCTCCAGTAAAGTATCCAAACACGCCAACGAAAACATACAGCGCTTCTTACAAGAAAGCCCGGAACTTGGATCTGGTCTGTATGAAGAGGCTATCCAAGAAGCGATTAAAAAAGAGGAAGCGGAGTTACTAAACGAATTCCGCGATGGCGAGGAGCAATTCGCGACAGCGGGGTCGACTGCTTCTTTGGCTTTGGTCAATTTGACCCAGGGCTTTCTGGTCATTGGGAACCTGGGCGATTCGCATATTCTAATGGCGGACTATACTAGTTCAAGTGAGGGGGCTACTAATATCGTACGTCATATGTCTTCTGCGTGGATTGAGATGTTCGACGAGACGAGGCCTAATTGCAATACAGCGTCGGATAACGAAGTCACATAAACCGGGCGATTCTGACGAAAAGAATCGAATCATGGATGCCGGGGGTATGGTCAACACTGATAGTGGGACGGAAAGGCTAGGTCAGTGTTACTGTCTACGACGACTAGGTTATGCGTTCATAATTCTCTACAAGACCACTGACATGGGTGATATAGGCGCCCTGAACATGTCCCGGGCACTGGGTGATCTCCAGTATAAGGATCCCCTCATTAACTCGGGGACGGGACCGCTCAATGCGGCACAGATCCGGGCTGATGTCACGGCTTCGACGGACCAACAGAATCTTTTATCGAATGAGCCGTATCTGACACGCGTCGATCTGAATGATGGGGGCCAGCATGTTCTAATCTTGACCTCGGACGGCGTGACTAACGGGCTTGACGATGAGATCATCGTACACGGGTTATTAACATGTTACCGGTCTGGGTTGAATGCGACAGAGTCCGCGAAGTATATTGTGGACGAGGCTGCAGACGTGCCGGGTAGTGATAATGCTACTTGCATTGCTATTTTTATTGGTGGGACGTCTTGAGTTGTGGCCTACGGTTCTCGATATGTATGCGGCCGGTCATGTAAATACGCCCTTGGATTTTATAGATCTTTAGACCGAAGAATGGATTAGAGATTAGACGCGGAAGGCGGGACAGCGTAGACAGCGTATATGAAACAGTGCTACTTCAATAAAATCTCTGCCATGTAAATAAATGCTTATACTATTATGTCTTGAACTGTGATCACACCTGCGTGACAACTAAGAGAAACAAAAGGAGAAAATGAAAGAAAGTCTTGCAATAGAACTAAACTAGTTTAGTCTTGGTTACATCATGATACTTCGCCAGTCTCGCCAGGCTCAGATAAACAAAACATTGCTTCAATGAAACAGGAAGGCTTAAAGCCAGTGTACGAAAAGACCCATGAACAAGTTTAAAGTTAAACGAAAGAGGAAGAAAGACAGCAAATGAGAGTTGTTACTCCTGGGTATGACGAGAAAGAGCTTCAATGAAAGCTTCTCCCCACTTAGCACTATTCACAGCAGTATGGGTTAGCTGAGAACAAGTACGAAAGGGATGAAATTGGCAACTTGCCTTGTGTGGGTGGTGATAAATTCTCGTAGACTCTCATATCGGTCCGTTCTCTCCTTGTCGTCCATGCTTATTGCTTGGTGAACTGCATCTGATAGCTCCTGAACGCTAGATGGGTGGAAGGTAACACTACCACCAGACATGAAGGAGGCAGCCCCTGCAAGTTCCGAGAGCACAAGGACTCCATGCTTATTCTCTTGACAAGCCACATATTCGGATGCAACGAGGTTCATACCGTCCCTTCGGGAGGTGAGAAGACAGACATCGGAAATGCAGTACAAGGCTGTCAATTCAGTGAAAGAAACAGACCGGTGCATGTAAATGAGTGGTGTGCCATCAGGTGTAGCTAACGGTATTAGCACAAAGACCGGGAGCGAGGGGTGGGATACATACCATGTTCACCGTTTATCTTACCCACAAGCGTGGAAATTTCCTTTTCAAGCTCTTGATATTCCTTCACGTCCTCACGACTGGGTATAGCCACTTGAATCAAGGTGACCTTGCCCTCCAACTCAGGATAGGTCTTGAGGAAATGGTCCCACCCCTCGAGCTTCTGAACGAGACCCTTGGTATAATCCAACCGATCCACACCAATAATGACGGTTTTACCCTCATACCGCCTTTCCAGCTCTTTGATACGTTTCTGAACGTCTGCATCTTGCATGGAGTCGTTGAACTTCTGCGGGTCGATCCCGACCACAAACGTGCCAACACAGGCTGTGTGTCCTTCATATTCGAGCTGGCCTTCTTTCTCTTTGGCGCCCCTGTAACATGATTAATACACGCACCATCAGAAGATTCCAACTGAACCAAGACAATCCCGACTTACAAGCAGCGTTCACAGCTTTCAGTAAAGTTCCGTCTATACTCATCCGTGTGGAACCCAATCACGTCGCAAGCAAGCAAGCCCTTAAGTAAGTCCTTCTGGACAGGAATCGCCCTCCAAAAGTCTTCCGCCGGAAACGGTGTATGCAATGTAAATCCAATGGGGCAATTCTTGCCTTGCTTCTTCAATCGCTCACGCAACAGAGAAGGCAAGAGTAATAGATGGTAATCATGGACCCAGATAAGATCCCCGGTAGTGGCTTCTTTGGCGACCGTATCAGCAAAGATCTCATTCACACGCTGGTATGACTCCCATGCATCCTCATTGAAGGCAACTCCAGATTGGTAGTGGAGAATGGGCCAGAGGACCGAGTCTATTGATGGTTAATCTGTCGGTAGATAATAGATATGGAGGAGAGGTTGCATACTCGAGAACTTGTTGTAGTGATCTTGCGCCAACTGCTCGCCCAGGAAAATCCCTACCGCATTATTCTCTGCCAGAGCGTCCGAGACCTTCTTCTGCTCGTCTGGGTCCTCGATAGCCTTGCCAGGCCAGCCGAACCAGCGGAAGTTCGTTGACTTTGTCAGACCCGATAGGGCTGTTACAAGACCACCGCTAGATAAGCTGGACTTGTATGTACCATTTTCCTCCTTGACTGATAGTGGAAGACGGTTTGAGACGATAATCAAACCGCGCTTCTTCTCATTATTTGTCGCCATGTTTGTTGAATGGTAGAGTCTTCAAGGGTAAGCTAATGCTGTTTTGTCTGAAATGCGTCTAGTCGCTAAAGCTCAGGTCAACGTCTTTGGTATTCTCTACGCAAGAGCACTATGCCTGAAATAACACTACTTTAAGAGGATCATTATGATATCCCTGAGTCAGGGTGTGAAGCTTCTTTGGTGGTGAATTGAAGTGTACGTATACAGATGACGTCATGATGATAATGGTAACACTGCAGAGCCAAGATAAGGTAATTCTTGGCTACTGCCCACGATCTGCTTGTCTATAGAGTAGGACCAGGCTTCATTCTGCCAATAGTTAGAATGTGGCGCTGGTTCTGTGCTATATGAGGGTAGCCCTATATGGGACACTTGCCCAGCAAATCATAAGAGATCCGAGTGGCGGGAGTAGATGCCGCCAGAATGTAGTAGAACGGAAGATATCCGACTGCCTTACAGGTTCAAGAAGGCATAAGCCAATGGCATAAGCTATCTTGTACTCATGTGGTAGTAATGATACTCCACTGGAGGTAAATGTGAAGAATTCAAGCCAAATAGAGTTCTATCGGGATGTACAGTAACGTGGAAAGCTATTTTGAAATGGACGCCGCGAAAGGGGGAATTGGTATCCAGGACTTTTGATTAGTTCATCAATTGCTGCGTCCGTGGAACAAGCCGTGAGTGAAAAACTTATAAATTATTTTCATGTAGCCTTACTAGATCCAGTATACGGTGTCAGCTGCTGGGTACAGGCTGGTCCGAGTACGACCCTAGTATCCAAGATGCTGATGCGCACACGTACAGTTTCACTTTCGTGAGAAAAGGCTCTGGTATATTGTTACGCACATATCCAAGTTTCTGTCTTTTATATCATTGAAATATCTGATCTTTGCAGCCTCTCGTGTTTCATTTGTCTACTCTAACACGCACGAATGTCCCCCTGGTCCACAGTAAATAATTTCTTCAATTTCTGCATACGTCGCACTAAATGTAGCATCTGCCCCGTTGATGACCCTGGAGCACTAGTCTCGATTCTTCACTATGACCAGTTGCTTTGGTGTGCGTGAAATCTTCCTGCGATTGGGGTGGCTTTTATCTCGATATAGGTCTAAGTGGTTCCTTAGGCTTGCCCTGAATAAAGCTAAGCGGGATGACCTATTCGTGATGTAAAGCGGCACTCAACATCACATGTTCCTCTTATATCACTTGTCGGTCATTGTTCCGGCAAGGTTCCAGGGTTCTTCACCAGGTTAGTATCAAACCCTAAATCTAGGACAAACAGTCCTCCTTCAGAGGATCCATTCATCACAAGGCTGTCGATTGAAAATCGAGGCAAAACGACTGGTTACTGAGCCCATAGAGGTTGTATGACAAACAAACACTTGTTATTGGACGCGGCGGTTCTCGTGAACCTCGAATTCTGCAGCTATATTAGGATCTGGAGCAAGCTGTGTGATCTAAGCAGAGAATGACGAGGAAACGGCTCATACATCGGTAATGGTGGCTTCTGGGGTAGAAGTCGAAGGGCCCAATGAGCTGTGTTATATTTGTAACGTCGCCATGACATCTCAATATGAGGCGTGTGTCGGACCGTGGGATTGCTGACGGGCGGGCAAGATATAAGGGTCTGAAGACCTGCTCTGGAACGATGGTTATTTCATACGACGGCTACTGGCAATCATATCAATTCAGTCGTACTTTAGATTCAGTGCCATACAATTTAGCGATCAATAATCATCATGACACCACGTGTTAGCGATGCGATCAAGGAGGATCACCGTGAACTCGAACAATACTATGATCGTATCACTCAATCGACTGACCAGGACGAGCAGACGAGGTACCAGAACCTGTTCACCTGGGAACTAGCTCGTCATTCCATCGGAGAAGAGCTTGTGATCTATCCGGCAATGGAGAAACATGTCGCCAATGGTAAAGCTCTGGCAGAGAAGGATCGTAGGGAACACCAGAGCGTGAGTGATATTGCATAATCCTACCAAGACAACAAATCTTACCATAGGACAGGTCAAGGAACAATTGAAGAAGTTCCAGAATCTTAAGGCGTCAGATGCGGACTTCATCCCAACTGTCGAGGCTCTGATGAAAGATCTCGCGCCGCATATCAAAGAAGAGGAAACTACCGATCTACCAGCTTTAGAGGAGGCCCTGTCCCCAGAAGACAGCGAAAAGCTTTCCAAGTCCTTTGGTCGAACCAAGATGTTTGTGCCTTCTCGTTCTCACCCGAGTGCACCGAGCAAGCCACCATATGAGACGGCTGTGGGCCTTCTTACTGCCCCCATTGATCACCTGGCGGATCTTTTCCGCAAGTGGCCTGATACCTCTACCATGCCTAACCCGTCTACCGAGTAAATCTTTTGTCCATCAATGAAATTGTAATGAAGCAACGTTAGGGGCCGGTGAGATGTATGGTTCTAGGTAGCGGTGTATGTATTCGGGCATCTTAATGTATAGTCATCATGTAATGTTTTGTTGAGTTTGGTGTGTCTGAATATGTATTGCGAATTATGAGAAATGGTTTCTTTCCTTACCTGGTGACAGGGCTTTCGAAATAACGTATGGTGCCGACGACACAATTCACGTTACTGGAAAGCACTATTATTTACGGCTAATAAAATGTTGACTACATGTACATTTAAAAGCAGAGTGACATGATAAATCTTATTTTCAGACCCAGTATTGCATATAGTACACGTTTAAATTGGCCTCTTCTTTACACATGTTGCTCTAGTCCAGCGCCTCGCAACCAACTTGTATACATCAACCATCCCGTTACGAGTACATCTTTTCTCCTCCTACAAAGCCATCTCCACCAAGCCCAAATCCTTGCGTCCAGCCTGGACGGGTCTTCCGTGCCTCGCGAATTTTCCAGAATATGGAACCCTAGCCCAGGTTAGTCCACTTTATCCAAAAAGCTCATGATAGTCATGAAGAACGGTCACCTACATCATACACAGCACGCAAATCCTCTTTATAAACTTTATCATCCTTCTGTATGAGAAGCCACGTAGTTCCCCATTCGAAGAAAGCCGCACCCCACTGCGCAGGAGTTGCGATTAGCATACATAGTGTTCAATAGAGCAACAGAATAATGAGCATGAATACTTACCCCGAACGGATCAGCAGCACAGCGATGGCCATGCATCAGTTGGAACAGCTCACGTAGCGTCAACGCTCCATCATTGTCCGAGTCCCATTTCGCAAACAGATTCTCGAAAAGCTGCGGGATGAAGCGGCCTTCGGGGTCATAGGTACCGCTGTCCGAGCCGTGCTGGAGCCAACCAGTCAGTTTGTGATGTTGCTGGCTACTATTATACAGCTGAAAAGAAGACCTACCTTTGCCTTGTGCACACTCCGTACGTAAACCCGAAACCACGGGTCCGGGAGCCAGCTATATGCGAGCCGAGTCGGGTATGAAAAGTTGATATTGATGATCAAGACTGCTAGTATTGAGAAGAGGATATTGAACCCCAATTCACGGAATCCGATATAAGTGTCCCATGGGAAAATCATTCCATCGCCATCACGGTCCCAGAATAGCACATGTTGTTGGAGAGGGGTCTATCCATGAGGTATGTATGTCAGTTATACGTAAAGTCGCTGGATCTCATGGTGGAAACCCACGTATTCTCTGACCTTACTGGCCCATTCTTGGTCGCCGAGGGGTTTCTCAATGGATACTGCGACATCTGCGCGCGCAACACCGGGATTGTCTATGGCTTCGTTGATGTGAGTCGCGGGAATCCGTTTCACGGTAATCGGGGCTTCTTTGGCGACGACGGTGATCCTAGGGATGTCACCGTTGGACATGTCACTTTTTTCATCCTTTAGGGACGTGTCGATGTTTACTTTGGAGGGCATTTTGACCGAAGTTTGCGTGTTGTTGATTTACTGTTTCCGGGAGATGGTGACCTTTAATACATGATTGATGTGACATCATACTTAACCAAACTTCGACGTCACAATGGAATTCATGGGATTCGCCCTCCCCAACGTCATCTTGAGGTACTTGCTCCTCATCATACGATAGTAACATGAGTACAAGGATGGGGGCTGATAAGGCTGCTAATATGCAATTAATAGCTAGTATCCTCTATCAACTCCTGTTTTGCTGGAATATCCTGTCCATCTAACCAACGAAATCGAGCCAATAAACTGATATAATAATCTTGCAAACATCCTCTACCTATTCCTGAGTACTTAGCAGTGTCTTGCGAAAATATTGATTCCAAATATGGCTCTTGTCGCCCAAGGCGCAACCTTCATCCACCAGTATATCTCTTCATTTCTTCACTCCAAGCCCCGTAAATCCCCCGAAGCTCTGAAGCTAGGGATTCTATCATCAGCGCAGATCAATGCCGCTGCAGGTATGTAGCCCATAGCTTTCTGCAGATCATTATGGCTTACGGCGATTGACCAGCCATCCACCCCGCGGAAACACATCCGGATGTAATCTTATACGCTATTGCGTCTCGCGATGCTTCGACTGCCGCCCAGGCAGCTAAACAGTACAACTTCACCAAATCGTACGGCTCTTACCAGGAACTCTTGGATGACCCTGCTGTGGATATTGTATATGTGTCTACCCCCAATGGACAACATTATGAATGGACTTCCAAGGCCCTTCAGGCTGGAAAGCATGTGCTCTGCGAGAAGCCATTCACATCAAATGCAGATGAAGCAAAGGGCTTAGTGAGCCTAGCCAAAGAGAAAGGATTGACACTTGAAGAAGCTGTAAGTCTATGCTCACATCTCATTTAGAAACTGATGGGTAGCCTGACGTACTTATAGTTCCACTGGCAATTCCACCCTGCAGCACATGCATGGCGGCATATTCTAGAGTCCGGCCAACATGGCAGGATTCTGCGGACGAAGGCTGTGATGACTGCGAGTCCGGGTATACCGAAGGGAGATATCCGATGGCAATATGATCTAGGTGGTAAGAGCTTCAACTTTTAGCTGTTACCCTACCATTGCTTGCTCTGACATCATTTAGGTGGCTCCGCGATGGACATGACGTACGCCCTATCATTCACTCGTTACGCTCTTCGCGCACGGCACCCTAAAGCCATCAACTCAGCCACTGCCCGCGTCTCCAGCGACGATCCGCGCGTCGACGCGGCCATGTACGCCTATCTGACTTTTGTCGGACCCCAGGATACTGAGGTCCATAGCCAGATCTACACGGATATGGAACGGCAATGGGTTGTTGGCGTTGTTCCACGTTTCTGGGAGTTGCCTTCAATTGAAGTGGAGACTGAGAGGGCTATCATCTTCTTCTACAATGCGATGATGCCACATCTGTATCACTACATCGCTGTCACTGACAAGACCACGGGCCTTACGCGGTACCACAAGCAATACAAAGGAGGTCCTTTGTGGGGCAATGTTACGACCACTGGCGGAAAAGGTGGCAGTTCGCACTGGAGTACCTATCGATGGCAGCTGGAGGCGTTCGTCGATGCTGTCAAAGGCAAAACACCTGCATACTGGATCCCCGGAGAAGATAGCATTTGCCAGATGGAATGTATTGATGCATTGTATCAGGCTGCTGGTCTACCAGTACGCGGAGCGCCAGCTAAGAAAGGGTGAAGCCACGACTCACATGGAGCGATCTTCGCCTTGGGGGTTCTTGGCAACAAAAAGTGACGATGTTAATCGAATTTTTAATACCTTGAACGTGTTGTATTGAAAAAGTTAATATGGGCTTAATCAATGAGCCTTGATTTTATCCACTGATTCCCTTGGTTCATTGAGCAATCTTCGGCAATACGGGGAAAGGATATGCTGTGATTCTGTTTGGACACCAGAGAACAACAGTTACGGTATACCTTTAGTCCGGTCACGTGTAAATAATTACTGCCATTATATACCGCCTGCCTGGGATTTCTAAATCACACTCATTATGTAAATCAATACCAAATGCTCATTTAACATATAGTATCTTTCGCATTTCCTTGTTTTTCGCATTTTCCCTTTTCATCCCAACTAGGAGGATTCACTGTGTGTGGGTGATAAGCTAGTAGTTAACGGCAATGGAAGAACTTCGGCGGGCATGCCGTGAGGCGCTATCACAACGACATTCAACTTCGTCGACTTTCCCAGCAGCGCAGGTAGTAAATATTACACTTCCGGAAGAATTAGATCTGTTATGGCAGGATGTGTCATCAGAAGGGAATACAAATAATCTGGATGTAAGCAAAAATACTAGCGTGGATTATGTTGAATATAAGCATATACTAATGATGCCTTAGATATGCGAAAGTCTCCTCGTCGTATATAGCTTTTTGAAAGCCTGGGGTCCGAAAGACTTATCCGGTGCTGATGAGGATGCTGCAAATCATATTTATTCCTGGGCAAGTGATGCTGCACTCCCGTCTCCAGTCTATGCTCAGCTAGAAGAACCATCGGATGGTGAGTTAAGATTCAGGTTCATTTTATGAATAGCTGTTCTAACGATCAACACAGAGAAGAATGATGCTATTCTCGAAGACCAACTAAGGTCGAGGATTGCCTTGTCGGTGATTGCCACATTGAATGAATCACTGCCAATATCCAAAGCCGAGAATGCGGCAGACGTTGTTATTGCATTAGCCAGCTTCTCATCCACAGAAGACCCATGGACAACGCAAGAAGCATCCACATGTGCCACTACCGTACTGGATAATCTTACTCTGGCAACTGCTTCCGACACAGAATCGAATACCACATTCTGGTCCGTGATCGAAAAGATTCTCAAGGACAGAATCAGACCCCTCTTCGCAAAGACCAGAAACCCAGCTATCACCTCTGCTGGACGCAAGAACTTCCATCCCGTCCCATTACCCCGATTCGACGCCAGTATCCTAGACCCAGAAACCAAGCCATGGAAGATCCAAGACATCTACGCCACAACCGTCCTCTCCTGGATAATCCAGCAATATAAAGTACGCACCCCTCATCATCTTCCCCTTCATAATCACACCACTAACAACCACCCCAGCCCACCAACCAAACCAACCTCGAAACCCATTTCCCTTTGCTAGTCCCCTCAATCCTAGCCCTAATAGACGACGACTCAACCTCCATCAAAACAAAAGGCTGCACCCTCCTCAGATACCTCCTAACCCCCATCCAAGAAACCAAATCCCCAATCCTCCACCGCACAAACCTAACCTCTGTCTTCGAAGACGCCATAAAACCCTGCCTCCTCTCCCTCCCCACCATAACCCCAGAGCCTGACTCCATAAACCTCCTGAAGGAGGCCTACCCGGCACTCCTCACCCTCCAAAAAACTACCTACACAAACACTCCCTCCCCTTCTCCATCCCAGCAATCCCAATCCCAACCCCTGTCCCAAAACAACAAACTCGAAACCTACATATCCCGCCTAACAACCACCCTTCGAGAAAACCTCATCCCATCATTCCACCACATCAGCTCAACGGATACGACCTCGCTATCATCTGACTTCGCATCATTCCCGTATCCGCGTCTCTCGACGCTGCTACTGGAGCAGATAGTGACTGTCCTGGGCGAGTTGGGTATTCATACGACGAAGTTCCTCCAGGATATTATTCCGCTGGTGCATAATACACTGGCGAATCCGTTTGGACCCGCTTATCCGCCGATGCTTTTGGGTGCGGTGAAGGTTGTGAGGATGGTAGTTTTGAATGCGCATCCGCGGGTGTGGAGGTGGAGGGGGGAGATTTTGGGTGCGGCGTGCGCCTGCTGGCTTCATGTCGTTGAGGAGGAGAGGGAGATTGTGGAACGGGTTAAGAGGGGTGGGTTGTCTGGTGAGAGTGAGAGTGACAGTGACAGTGAGGCTGTGGCTATGGAGAGGCTTAAGAAGGAATTGAGGGGTGTGGTTTATTTGCTGAAGTTCGCTTTGCAGAATTCTATTCAAGTGGATGATGGGGTGGGTCAATGGCAGGCGAAGGAGAATCTGGACAAGGAGTTGCGAGAGTTGGTGGATGCGGATGAGAGTTTAAGTGGTCTTCTCTTAGAGGAGATTGATGCCAATGATGGGAGCTTTTTTGGGGAAGCCCAGGTGGTGCCTCTTTTGTTCATAGAATGACTTATGCATGATCATATAGTTAGAAAACATGAATCGGTATATCTAACATGCTAAGCTAAGACTTGTAAACGCTAATGCCGACATGATGCGTATGGGTATCGCGTCATTAAAATATCAATCATGAATCGTGGCACAGAAAAATATGTGCAGTTCAAATGTCAACTCGCTGCTTGAAAAGACTCTTGCCTCTCAACCATTGTCGGTAGCGCTTGTAGCGCTTCATTTCATGGTCCTCTGCTGACACCGTGAGTCCTTCGTCCGATATATTGAGGAACTCGGCGTAATCTGCCATATTTTGGTCCGCGTTGGCCTTGAGAGCGGAGTCTTCAACGTTGCATTTGTTGACATACTCAATTAAATCCAAGTTTGATTCTCGTTCACGGGCAGAAGTGGCGATAAGATCATCCCTAGATGTCACAACAAGAGGCACCTTCAAGGGATGGTTGATATAGCGTTCATACTCCTCGGCCTCCGCGGATGTGACAGATGGGTTCAATGAGTCACTCACCAATCGACCCAAAGTCCACTGAGCGATTTGCGCTTTGCTAGGTGTGGAGCGTTGAGTGTGATTGTTTGTCTGTGAAGCCCCAAATGATGAGTCTCTCATGAGCTCAGACCCTTGATTGGTAGAGAGATGCCAATTTGGTGTAGGAGTAACAGTGTCAAATCGTGTCCTTTCCGGACGATCTCGGACGAAATCTGGCTCTTGAATCTTGACACTCCGCTGCTGCTGTTGGCGTTCCCTATTGACCTGCTCGTTTGGGATTCGAGCCACAAACGGACTG